TCTAACAGGAGGGTTGACAAAGTAAGCAAACCTTGATAGTATGACTACCCTCAATGGATACAAAATAATACGAATATGGTTGAACAAATATTGGTAAAAGGGGAAAGAGAGAGAGAGAGAGAGAGAGAAAAGAAAAAAAAGAAAGAGGAGTGTACATCAAGATTCACAGATGTATGGGTTACAATGTAGTTGGATTTCAATTTGATATATGAAGATAAAAAAAGAAGATGAACATTTGAATATTGGGTGGCCAGCTTGGGATGTATTATAGAATGAGAAGACTCACGAGATTTCTGGACAATATGAATAAAAGTGTGAGGTCAGCGAGCTGGTTTATATAGACTGTAAATTGTTGTATGTATACAAAACAGGTTTTGGGAGTATCCCTAGTAGGCCACATTGTTTTAAAATCGTTTCAAAGTTACAGTAAGTTCATTGGCTGCATGTATCTCTTTCAAAAAGTGTTTGAACTAACTATAACAATCCCATTTCCATTCAAATTGTACTTCTAATTTCTTGATTTGTAACTGTCCCTTATTACCTGCACATGTAGGTAATGGGAGACCTTTGGTGATCACGTCATTAATCATTGTTATCTTATTAATCAGTTACATCATGACCAAAATTTTGTTACCAAATAAAGAGAAGAAGTTACTAAAGAGAATACAAAACTTTCTGTATGTGTAACATTGTTCATTTTTATGTAAATTATGCAAATGTGCTTAAGGGTCTCCAACTCACTTACACAAAAATAGTGCTTAAGTACTGTAGACTTGATTTCAAAGTATTAGGAATATACAAGTACTGCGATCGGTACATGTAACATACAATACAGAATTTTCCCAAAGAGAGGATAGAAAGAGAAGAGAGTAAGACAGAAGGAGAGGGGGAGGAAATGAGAAAGGAAGAGAGAGTAGGAGAGAGAGAGAAAAGGAAGGAGATAGGAAGAGGGATAGGGAAATTGCAATACAATATGTAGAATCTGTAAAATCAGCACATCTACCCAATCATTGTAGACATCATTGCAATTATACGGAAATACATGTACATAATAGAAAAAAGAACAAGGAGGAAAAGAGAAGAAAATCGAGAAAAAGAGGGGAAAACACATTAAGATAGGTAATGAGAAGGTGATAGACTTATACAAGTTTCATAGCGTTGATTACCTTCACTGCCTTCATTGATTGCAAAAGTGACCAAATTTGTGAACGATTGTATGGAATCTCTAAAACTTCAAGGGAATGAGGATAATCAATAAAATTATATCCCAAAGTGATAAGGCAAGTCCTTTTCTGGACTCGTTGGATCATGTTCGACTGATTGGCAGTAATATATGTTGACCACACTGGTGAGGCCAAGAACTAACAGTCTAATGTATATACTAAAAATAGCAACCAAATCCTCTAAAGGAGCCTTGCGTTTTTTGAGAACACAAAGGATATAAAAACATCGCGATGCCTGTTTGACAGCATTCTCAACTTGTCTATCCCATTTCATATCAGCCTGTAGGTACACTCCTAATAACTTAACAAACTCAGTAGGCTGAAGGACAGAATTACCGATGCTAACTTCGAGCCTAAAAATCTGGTTCCGAAGTAAAGGGATACGCAATATCTTACAGTTGTCAGGTTTGGGGTCATCTGATTATCAACGGAACAATCCATAATCAAACATAAATGATCTTGCAATCTGGATGGTTGAGACTTGTGTTTTTTAAGCAACACTCAAATCAGCTCTGTTGTCATTAACATCTTCATTGGCTTTTTGAACTGTAAACTTGCCCTCTGGGAAAGTATATGAGTGTGTGTGTGTGTGTGTGTGTGCGTGTTTATGGGTGCATGAGTGCGTGCCTGTTTTGTAGTTTTAAGATGATATTATATTTTATATTGCTGCTTTTACTCTGTTAATTTTTCAGAAAAAACAATAAAAACAGAAAAAGAAAAAAAAGATATTTCCATCTGAGAGGGGTAGAGGTTGCAACATCATTTACCATGATTACGAAAAGGATGGGACCGAGCCTCGTACCTTGCGGTACTCCACAGGTAACAGGTAGGGGCCACTAAACATGTAAAAAGACGCAATGAGACCTTGATATAGGAATGCGCGGTAGCTCAGTGGTAGAGCAGTAGTTTCGCAACCTGAAGGTCCCAGGTTCAAAACCAGTTCGAAGCGCTAGTGCCCTTCGCCAAGGCTATACTAATCATTACCAAAACCCTCGGAGAGGTCCTTTGGTTGCTTACTTACAACCATACAAATACTTTCTTAACAGGCAGGTCAAACAAACAAACAAACAAATACTTCATGAAATCAAATAGATTGAAACGATTTTTCCAGAGGGAATGATCTTGATTTGTGACATTGGCTTTATTTAAAATTACAGAGGGTTAGCGTTAGGTTTCTCTCTCTCTCTCTCTCTCTTTCTTTTTTGTCTGCCCTTCTCTGTTTCCCTTCATCGCTCTATTCCTCTCTATGTATTTATGTACACTCGCTTAGAGGCAATTTGGTATTTGCGGTATACAAATATCTTATTATTATTATTATTGATTTATTGTAAGATGTTTGCTTTCGATTTTCAAGGTGTACTTACCCTAAAGTATTGAGGAATTCCGGTCTTTAGGGGTTTAACCTCTAATTGTTTCCTACTTATGTATACTTGAAATATATCACCGTGAGAAGAGCGATTGTTGAGATAATGAAAGCATCATATACTTGACTCTTAATCAAAACGTAACCCTAAAAAGGCTGGGCTATTGACATTAATATTTTTCTGAAATTATTCATGTTGTTTTGCTGTGATTCATGTCTTCTTCATCTTTTTAAACAAATATTTGATATAGTAATCATAGCCTTAACCAAGGGTGTCGATTTGTATCCGTGGTTGGGGGGGGGGGGGGGTGTGATAGGTACCAAAATATTTTCGGCAAAGGATCAAAGCAACCAAGAGGTAGAAGCGTGTGGCAGGTTGCATCCCATCCCCAAGCGCGTAGCCAGGATTTCATTTTAGGGGGGGGGGGGGGGGGTAGTGAGCACGCGAAGCGCGCTCCCTAGGGGGTTGGGTGCAGGGAGGGAAAAGTTTCCCATTCCCCCGCGAAGCGCGGAAACTTTGACGCTTCATTAAATTATTAGAGAAAGAAGACGATTCGTTGGAACGTTCTCGACTCTTAATCCTTGTTTGAATCAAGTTCCCCTTTATCCGCGCATGGCGCGGAAGCTCTGACGTTTCATTAGATTATTAAAGGAAGAAGACGATTCGATGTACCATTCTCGACTCTTATTCCTTTTTTTAAACCATGTTCCCCTTCCTCAGCGCGTAGCGCGGAAACTCTGACGTTTCATTAGATTATTAAAGAAAGAAGACGATTCGATGTACCATTCTTGACTCTTAATCCTTGTCTGAATTCAGTTTCCCCACCCCTTCCGCGCGAAGAGGGTTAAGCTTAGACGTTTCAAATACTTATTACTCTTAATCCTTTTATGAATTCCTTTTCGCCCATCTCACGCGAAGCGCGGAAGCTTTCACGTTTCATTAAATTATTAGAGAAAGAAGACGATTCGTTGTATCGTGTCCTTGTCTAAGTGCAATCCCCCCCTCCGCCCTCCCGCGCGAAGCGCGGAAGCATCGACGATTCAATAAATTATTACTCTTAATTCTTGTCTATATTTTCGCCCATCTCGCGCGAAGCGCGGAAGCTTTCAAGCTTCATTAAATTATTAGAGAAAGACGACGATTCGTTGTATCGTGTCCTTGTCTGAGTGCAATCCCCCCGTCCTCCCGCGGGAAGCGCGGAAGCTTTGACGGTTCAATAAATCATTACTCTTAATCCTTGTCTATATTCATTTTCGCCCATCTCGCGAAGCGCGGAAGCTTTACCGTCTTATTAAATTTTTAGAGAAGGAAGACGATTCGTTGTATCGTGCCCTTGTCTGAATTCAGTTCCCCCCCCCCCCCCCATATACGGTTGTCTAATTTATTTCGTATATATGAATGTATTATGAAAATGAGATAGGAAAATGTGCATATTGATCGTCATCTTGCGAGTAGTAACCATGAACTACTCTCATCGGGCTCTCATCATTAATTTTCCTTTTTTTGTGTGTGAATTATTGGGGGGATGATTGTACAGGCCTCCCCCCCCCCACCTGAAATATTGGGGGGATATATCCCCCCCCATCCCCCCCCCCCGGGATCGACACCCATGGCCTTAACCCTTAAAAGCGCAATGTTATTTCATCATCAGCACCTGTGAATATCATGTATGGTTTTAATAAATAAGTAATAAATCATGAGAAACAATCTAATGTACTTAATTTTTAGGATACTGTTTAGTCTTGATAGAACTTGTTTGATCCTTGATAGAAGAGTGCGCGGTGGCTCAGTGGTAGAGCAGTAGTTTCGTAACAGGAAGGTCCCGGGTTCGAAATCAGGTCGAAGCGCTAGTGCCCTTCGCCAAGGCAATACTCCTCATTACCAAAACCCTCGGAGAGGTCCTTTGGTTGTTTACTTACAATCGTACAAATACTTTCTTAGCTGGCAGATCAAACGAACAAATACTTCATGAAATCAAATAGATTGAAACGGTTTTTCCAGAGGGAATGATCTTGATTTGTGACATTGGCTTTATTTAAAATTACAGAGGGTTAGCGTTAGGTTTCTCTCTCTCTCTCTCTCTGCGTCTTCACTTTCTTTTTTCGTCTGCCCTTCTCTGTTTCCCTTCAGCGCTCTATTCCTCTTTATGTATTTATGTGCACTCGCTTAGAGGCAATTTGCAATTTGCGGTATACAAATATCTTATTATTATTATTATTAATATATTGTAAGATGTTTGCTTTCGATTTTCAAGGTGTACTTACCCTGAAGTATTGAGGAAATCCGGTCTTTAGGGGTTTAACCTCTAATTGTTTCCTACTTATGTATACTTTGAAATATATCACCGTGATGAGAGCGATTGTTGAGATAATGAAAGCATCATACTTGACTCGTAATGAAACTTAACGCTAAAATGGCCGGGTCATTTGAGGTATTAATCCGGCCGGGGCATAATGGGCATAATGCCCCCCCCCCTGAGATCTCGGCCGTGAAACGGATGATCGCCGAAAAAAATTGCACGCATGTCAAGTGAAGTGTATAGAATACTGCGGAAAATTTATTTTTCGAAAATTTCACTCATTTGCATATTTATGGTAATTATTGCAAAATTTCAACTTTTTAACCATAAATCATATATTCTTTATATTCCTTTTCACTATGTGTATTCATTTTAGACCATTTGAAACAATAATATGACAAACAAATAACTCGGAGGAGCTAGGCCATTCCTTTATGTTATCTCTTGTTTTGATAATTTCTGATGTATTTCATTGTTTTTTTATATTAATGTATTTTTATTGTTTTTGTTGTTTTATTTCATTTCTAACTCAACCATTTTGACTCCCAAAACAAACACCTAAACTTTAAACAAGACCCAATAACCAATGTTTGTTGTTTTTTTTATTAGGAAAAATGACATTTCTATATGTTTTATACACAAATCACGAAAATAAGCGATTTTCGGGCTAACATGCAAACATAAAAGGTCACGTGACTTTGTAACTGTATGTCAGTTTTCAAAAAAAATTGTTTTAAAAGATGCGCAAGACTCGGAAGAAAAAAGTCAGCGAGCGGCGGGGCGCCATCAGAAAAATCGCGGAGGGGGGGGGGGGGCACAATGGCCCCCGCTGGCCTTAATAGGGTTAAAACTCTTAAGACTTAATTTATTGGGAGATAACGTGACTTCAGCATACTTTAACCTTACAGCCTATTTTCCTGAAGCCACAGATATCTCTTCGGATTTTCTAAACTGATGTGATAATTGTTCTAAATAAAAAGGTTTATAATTTGGGCAGTAGTGCACATACCTTTCACAGTGCAGTGTGGTGAGCTGCGGGGCAGATTCTAAATACATATACACACTGATTTCTTTTCCCAAGTTTTCCACCCAAATTCAGCGAAAAGCATGCCTAGAACAGCGTCCCTGCAAGTGTAGGTTACTAGTGGAACGATACATTTCCATTCAATACTTGGTGCCAGAACTAAATTAACAACATCGTGTTGCCTCGTTTCTCGTGGTCCGATATGATGTTGTTAGGCCTACAGTTTGTTCAATAGTCAGAATGTAGTTACATTCAGTGAATGTTGTCATGTCGGAAAATCCCAATTCATGCTCTATTTTGAGAATAATGTATAGGGATGCTTAAAATTATAACATATTTGTCAATCACTCAATTGAGATGATAATCCTTTCCCATTATATTGGGTCAGACTCGTCTCGAATAGTAATATATATTTAAATGTTCACTTATATCTGCCCTGTTGTTTTTGCCTAGTTTAATGCAGCAATTTGAAAGGTGATACATTTATTCAGGTAGGAGGCGTCAGCCCTCTGGCGAAAATACGCCTATACGGGCTTTTCTAATGGCAAGATTACAAGAAACTGATTGTTCATTTCGATTGCGTTATTACGTGAGCTACTCAAGCCTGCAAAAGAAAATTAATGCATACGCCCATAATTTCAAAGGGACGTTGCATTGTCAATTTTTTTCGGCCACGTTTTGTGTATCACTCTTCCATGGTGACGAACCACTAGCCACGCGTTTCCCTGACGAGAAAGGACGGACCCCATGCGTGTTACCAAAATGTCCGGTAAAGGGGTACTTTTCGTGCGACAAAGTCCGGCCCGAGAATTGTAAAAAAAAAAGGGGTGTATTAACTTTTCACCCGGATATTTCTTTAAAAAGGGGTGTTTTTTCTTTTTTTCTCTCATCTCTTTGGACTCCTGAGAAATTATTCCCAAATTAGGGGGGTACATTGAGCATTTGTCATGATTTAGGGGGGTCTCCAAGGCAGGAAAAGCCCGCGAAAAGCCCGCGAAAGGGGGGTTCGGAAATGTTGGCAGTCCTCAGATAGGGGGTGCTTTCAAAAAGAGGGAACAAGCATATGCGTATAACACTGAGTTTGGGGGCCAACATGATCATGATTTATTTAATAACAATTTAATTATACTAAACGTTCATATTGCATTTTTACTTCTTTTCTAATGAAGAACCATGATAAGACAATATAATTTGATTAAGCGTATGCAGTCATAGTTGAGTGAGTCAAACACGTGACTGGAGAGTCGAATGTAGTGGGATCAAGCCCCGTTGGCAATATATTAATCTTCATTTACCACTCTTAACCCCGTGTTGTACCGATATAATAGAACGCTGTGAGCACCGAAACCGGTAGCCTAGCCGGATGGTACACGAGCGCATTGAGCGCCTTGTGTGATGGATCTTCGCGTGCGTTATCAAATATGCAATATTGTTAATTTTTAGTTTCCCGTTCGTAATCGAAACGTTTGTTTTCCAAAAGGGACTCATCCTTACAGGACATGCTTCTCAATCGGCCACCAATTGATTTAGATACGATCATTTTAAATGCATTTGTGTTTTTGTTTAAGTGTCATATTGTCCTACAGTACATATGATTTACTACTACTAATAATAATAGTTCAGTTCTTGTATAGCGCATAATACGTTATGAAATAACGTCTCTATGCGCTTCCAAAGAGCTTTGGACTTTGTTACCCTAGCTTACCCAGCGCACAGTGCATTTCAAGAAATAATCGTACCAGGTACCCATTCACCTCACCTGGGTTGAGTGTGGCAAATTTAGATCAATGTCTTGCCAAAGGACATTAGTGTCGCGGCGAGATTCGAACCGCGGACCTTGTGATCGACAGTCCGGTGACGTATCCACATATTGCTCCGATTGTCTCATTTTCGCTCGCGTGAACATTGCCAGCACAAACCACTGACCTCTACCTCCTGAACGGATCATCGCCCATTCCCATTCACTATACGTTACGTACTAAAAGGCTGTATTGTCTAACCGTTCATGAATATTCATGTTTTTGCTAAACTCGGCAAAATGTTTGCTTTTACTAAATGGAAAAATTACGGTGGGGGGTTGGATGAAATGGACATAATGAAATAGGCAGAAGTGATCTATGATAATTCATGCGTTTTATGTTTCGTGTGCTCGACCTATAATCTTCAAATCGCTTGGTAAACTGAGTCCAAAGTTAGACTTGTTTCACATGTGTATTATAGGCAATGACGAGCCTGCAACCTATTTTGAAAAATTACGGTGGGTGAACTTTCAAAAGTCAATGAGACATGAGGGCTCAAATGAAAGAGCTAGTGATAACGTACGTCGGGGTGGATGTGCTTTTCGTTTAAACAAAAAATGAATTGTTAACGATTTTTTTTTTTTAAACGTCCATAGGCTAACATGTTAGGCTGCTGACGCTGACCATGCTCTGACGATAGGGGGCGTCGTGAAATGAGACTAAACGGAGCCATATGCTCGACCACAACACCTCTACATGATGGTTTGAAGTCCAAAATGCATGTGGAAAAAGAAATTGAGTATAGATATACTGTATTAATAAAGTCATCTCTTGTTATCCAGGTGAGGTTGTTCATATCACAGTGCTGACCGCGAGACACACTAATGTAGCCGGTTCATCTAGAGGTTTCGAGTATCAATGTTATCGCAGTGAACCAGATAGAGACGCTTATATATCATTCGGTCGATCAGCACCAATAACAACAAACAGATCACCACCAGAAGAGGAGCAGCACTCAGATGGATTCTCATTCGTCAGAGTGGTGAGATTCCCTACAAGCGATGGATGGGATAGAGATGGTTTCGGTCCTTTCTACTGTGAGGCTTCCAAATCTGGTCGAGATGTTACAAGGGTTACTACATTTTTCCAACGAATTGATGGTAAGATTATTATTCCATTCATTATAATAAATATAGAATATTTAATGATGTATTCTTAAAATGTAGACTAAATGTGACGCACCATAACAGCACTGAGGTCTTGGTCTATGAATTGTTATGTGGATATGATTACTTTATAATCCACATTGTAAACGATGCGCTACATTGGAAAACTGTTTCGAACAGCAGAGAGTTTACGGAAAGACGGTTTACTGAGGACCAGGAGCGATAGTAATTCAAAAATGGCTCTGATTATGACGCTTACACACTCGTTTAAGATTATTGCTTGAGAATGGCTATATTACAAAGACGTGATATTTCAGATGTATAATTTCAGTGAGTAGGATTCTGTTTAGGAAATTTTAAACTTAAAAATCACGAAATTGTTGTCATACACAAAGCATACGCGGTATTGAGTTAAAGATAAAGGTGAGTTCTGGTTAAATTTTTTTTTTAAATCTGACAGAATCAAAAGAAACTTACACTGAATGTTCAAGATTACAAATAAATGCCATTTGCCAAACAATTCTGGTAGAAAATGTATACTGGCTGAGTAATGAGCATAGAAAGATTAAGAAATCAAGGTTAGTAGCCCCGACACCATTTGTGTAGTCCCATATACATGGGATGACCAGAACTCACCTTTATCTTCAAGCCTGAAATTATCCCAAACATGTTGATGTTGTTTATTTACATTCGAATGCTTAAAGGAAAACCCAAACAGATTTTGACATGCACCACACAATTTACTATGTTCTAATCTTTAATAGGAAGTGATATCAAATTGCAATAGAAAAATATCAACATTAAACTTGAATGCAAAGTCTTATAAAATCACGCGGTATACCTGAGTGAGTAGATGGCTACAGTGCGCGTTGCATGCAGGTACCATACGTAATGTATTTAAGTTAACCTTATTTTGGTTAACTTATTATCATCTCTATTAACAGCTAAATTCATATCAAGTGATGGATTGTTTACAAAGGCAGTCAATGTGAATGACACTGGAGTGATGATCAGCATGACTAGGCGTCATGATCCTGAGGCAAGTGGCAATGTGATTACTTGGAGGAAAGATGGAAGTGAGGTTCTTACATCATTTGATGGGCAGACTCAGCTCAGCTTCCCAAACCCAATCCAGACATCAGACCAAGGAATCTATGAGATCTACTATGATAACGAGAGGAATCAAAGTAGAGGAGGATTATACAGACTAATCGTTAGAGGTATATGTACAAGTGTATTCTAGCTTAATTAAGATTGGGCTTTAATTAATCTGTTTTCCAATGTAATATTGTTTGTTAGGATGCATGTAAAAGCTTTGCTTCATGTTTCGCCAAGAAATCTTTGTTTTAGATTGATTGGATTATGCAAGTAACATGTGGATGAAGATCTTTTACATATTCATTTATATCAATCAATATTGATGAAAAAATGAATGTGAACACTATTTTCTTAAAGAAATTATGGTAGAGTATTCTGGTAGAAAATGTATAAGTATGATCTTTTGGAATGGCATATTACTGTACGATGGACAGCTTTTTCCCTTTGCAATTTATATTTCAAAAGATTTATGAAACTTCCAATGATAAAATTAAAGTGTAAGCATGTCATGATCTGTGATGTGATAAGTACATACAGGTGGTTTCAAAGTACACATATAAGTATTTTCAGAATGTGACAGAGCCACTGACATGCACTATTATACTTATAGTTCTAGGTTCGAGAGTATTATTGTGAAACAAATTTTTTCATTAGTCTACTTCCATTTCTCATATTAGAATGCCCTGCTGGTAAGTGGGGTCCCCCTGACTGTTATGGTATCTGTGATAAATGCTACAATGGTGGAGTCTGTGATGACAAGTCTGGTCTATGTATCTGTCCTAACAACTTCAAGGGACCGAATTGTTTAGAAAGTAAGTAGGCCTGTTGAACTTCATTTTGAATTAAGTTTAATTATTTATTTATAGATGAATAGAGGAAAATAGTTCTTGTCTTATTCCTTTGAAAGTGAACTGAGTAGTGTACATCTATTTTCCTTATTACTTTCAAATATTTCTGTCTTATACACGACGAGGAGATAGAGAAATCAGAATAGTATTCATACATCATGTCTTTTGAAATATTTCTATGCGTACTTGTAAGTCTTCCTTTTACCACGAATCGTTTGCAAGAATAATGTTGATTATTATCACTTATAATTCTATTTATAAGAAGTAGGTTTCAGATAATTTATTTTGTTTTTTCTTTTATGTATTATTTACAGTCTGTTTTATATTACGTAAAATGACTTCGTAAATAGTTTGCAGGTCATTTTACATGTACATGTACATGAAAGTAAATCAATACAAACACAAGAATGACAAAATAAGATACAGCAGGGGAAATGGTTTACATCTGTTTTCTTTCATGTTAAATGTCTAAATAGCATAGATTTGTATGATTCGAATTTGCTATCCATAGTATGGCAGGGGTTCATTCAATGTAATAAAAACATTTTTTTTAACGAGCATAGGATAGAAACCATCGGTAATTTGCAAAGGAGATTTCATGGAAGCAACCATACTTGAAATATATCTCATTAAATCTTATTTCTTATCAAGTCTATAAGGTTTTAATTGAACAATGCAATAATTTTTGTATCAGTTTGTAGAATCGGTGGTGGAAATCGATATGGATTGAACTGCGAGTTTCAATGTTCATATAAGAGTGATGGAAACAAAAAATGTCATGGATATCTTTTTTGCCTACCTAATCCGTATGGATGTTCATGTGATGTCGGAGCCCACGGTAATTCATGCAACACACGTAAGTCTTCCGATAGACATTTAAATGTACTCAAATAAAAATCGTAACAAAAATATAGGCCTAAAAGTAATCATACTTCTACAATTCTATGACAATTCTAGTTTTTCTTGGCATATCAAAAGCAATGTGGCTGGATTCATGAGTTAGGTCAGGCGTAACTCAGTGGAAAAGAAGAGGAGAAGAAGTAGAAGAAGAATGAGAATAAGAAGGAGGAGGAGGAGGAGGAGAAGAAAAAGAAGAAGAAGGAAGAGGGGGAGAATGAAACAAAAGAAGCAAGAAGGAGAAATAGAAGTTATTGTAACATAGCTTTTTGATGAATGTATTGTATCTGTAAATCTTTATTTTGTATTTTGAATTCCGTTACAGTATGTACTAGTGGAACATATGGTCCAGGATGTTCACAGACATGTAACTGTGCCGTAGGTTCATCATGTGATATCTATAGTGGAATATGTTCAGGTGGATGTCAGACTGGCTGGTCTGGGGATAACTGTCAAAGTAAGTCATGGTCAGCAATGATAATAAATAATATGCCATAAATGCTTTCCCCAAACAAAATAAATCAAAATGTTACATGTACACTGCGGCATTGTATTTTTTTTCTCGCTGGAACCCCATTGCCTACAGAACTCGGTGGCTCCTGTGATATACCCGTTGGGAATAAGATAATTCGGTAGTCCATGGGTTAACTTGAAGTTATTATATTTTGTATTAAGATAAACCCAATCTTAAGCTGTGTTTCGGAACAACTTCTCCCATATATTCCGTATCTATTAGTAGAAGTAATAATAGTAGTAGTTTATTCGATTACATTTTTAGGAACAGGCTAATCGGCCACAAGGTCCATGTTAAGTACTAGAAGGGATGATTTCTTTCTTAAAATACACGAATTTATCTAGTGAAGGCACTGTTAAATTCAGGAGTATGTAAAACAATCTACTTGTCACTTGCTTATAGTACTTGCTAAATTGTGGTTTCTAAAATATTTTCATACCATCTCCAGTTCCAGATGAATGTGAGGACGGTTACTATGAATCTCAATGCACTGATAAATGTCATTGCTTTAACGATAAGCCATGTGATAAGCAGACTGGAGAGTGCCCTGAGCAGAAGTGTGCTCTAGGATACAAAGTACGCAGTGGCCAGGTCAAATGTCAAGGTAAAATATCATTTTTCAATAAAGGGTGTTGAATTTTTCATATCAATTTATATTCATTGATACATGCAACCTGTACAAACGTGAATAGTACAGTGTGCTTGACACACCCGTAATGTTCTTGTATGTACACATGCATGAACGCTCATAAATACATGTATGTTCATTTGGTCAATAGTGCTGGGATAGTACATACATTATTATAATGTATACTCTGGAGAGGGATTCTAGTAGACAAATATTGACTTTATGGAAGTATTAGTGTGTGGATGAATTGTGAATGAATATTGTAAAGGCGTGTTCACTGATCACACAACATAACTCTCTTTTTAATTTAACTACGAGGAAACAAGGTTGCACTGGCAATAAAATACATGATAAAAAGTATTCCCTTTTCGTTTTTTTATTGGGTACTGATTTGCAGACACAACACTTGCAAAGTGTAGTCATGCAAGCAAATAAATGATGCAGAATGAGAATCACATTAATGAGGATCGTGGATATTGCACGGAGTTTAAATGGTCATGTATGAGATGGACATGAAAAAATGCAGTGAATGAATAGAGCTTACGACAATGGTAGAATATAGAAATGACGTCGAAAGTCCATGAAGATGATGAGAGATGAAACGAAGAAAGGGGCTCACGCGATGATTGTGCGGAGGCTTGATGATGGAAACGCGACTTCGTTGACGTGGCTGAAGAGCCGAGAAGAACGCGATGTCGATGCCGACGCTCATGATGACGATGAATGTAGCGCTCGGGCGAGAAGAGAAAAGAAGAGATGTGGCGCTCGACGACGAGGCAGTGAGTCGCTCGATGTCAGAGGCCCAGGTTGAAATGTAGACATCAAAGCCGGTATAGTGGTGATCGTGAAGAGCAATGAGTCGCTCGATGCTGGATCGATGAGCCGGACTTTGAAGTGAAATCATCAGAGTTGCAGTGAGATGGACTCATTGATGAAAGTTCAGGCGATCTACAGTGAATCGAGCTCGTGTGTGAAAAGAGCTACCGAAGCGAAGAAGCTAGCAGCTCCCAGTGGAGAATCAGGAGCCATGTCGGTTCCTGATTTAAGCGTTCCACTGCAAGATTGTCAGTCCTTTAAAGACGGCAGGATAAAGAGATGATGTGCCATACAAGAGGTGATAGGCACGGAAGAGAATTCTCCAATTGAAATGCAGGAGGTTAGAATTGTAGAAGAATTTGCTCCTTGTGTATGCATGAAGCTAATTGTAGAAGTAGAGGTGACATTCTCATATTGACGTGTTACTTCATCGAAGAACTATGAGAAGTGTGGAAGAGAAGAAAGTTGGAGAGAAGAAGTTGTTTTCATCCTTCTTGGGAGGCAGGATAAAACAAAGAGGGTACTATATACCAATTCTGGGAAGGGAGAGTGAGTCACTGGTGATTACCAGGTACAGGGACATTGAAGCCATTATGCTGACACTTAATTGTTGATAAATATATAGGGGCAGTGCCTGGCATAAGTCAGAGGGCAATGTCCTCCCAAGTTGGGTTTACAAAGTAACAAATGAAATTTGGAAATGAAGAAAGATGAAATGAGAAAAATACTACAACTTCTTTGAAGGGCATCGTTAATGGTGACTATTCGCCCTACGTGATCATGCAACTATACTGTGCCCTAAGACAACAATGAGGGGCATAGTAGTGCAGTCTCGAGGACACTGAGGAGCTACATGTACATGTATAGAGTTCAAATCGTGAGGTAAACAATCAGCAGTCAATATTTGTTTTTATATCGTATTCATTTTGTGGTTTCACCTAAAATATATCATGATAAAGTATTTCATTTATGGAGGAAAAAATAATGGTTTGTGCCAACTGCTAGCCTTTTGTCAAGGCCTCGTGACTCTGGCTAAGCGGCTGAGATGAGTCTAGATACCCCGGGTGAACGCGCGACCGAGTGACGAATGTCACGAGGCCTTTTGCATAGTGGGTTTCACTGCTCCGCATGAATTATTCATAGATACATATTAGCATGCCAATACGCCTACTTTGGATTTATTGACCAATCAGAACGGGGATCTCCCAGTTGGCTTCGTACGTGATTCGTTCCATGTAGAGGTCAGTGGTCTTAGCACGTACGTAAAGTAGGCATGTAGGTCCATGTTCGCACTACGTAGAGTTTACTCTGTGTGTGTGTGTGTGTGTGTGTGTGATGGATACTATAGGCTGACGTCGTGCGAGGATACGTTCGCTGATTGGACACTACGTTTTCTGAAGCGAGTTCCAGTCGGAAACAAGGGTTAACATAAGAAATCCAAACCAGATTGATAAAGGCCACAGGTCTGGATTCAGGTTTTCGCGATTAGTCTCTTTTTAGTCGCTCGGCGTCTATCGGGCATGTGGCCTTGTTTAAAGGCTAGCCAACTGCTTGTATCCGTTGTTAACTTTATTCGTATCCATATATATATATATATATGTAGGAATATATATATATATATATATATATATAAAAAAAAATACTATTTTTAGTTTTGTTTTGATTTCCTACACAGAACTCAGTAGTGAATGTCATTCCTGCAATTTTGACAAATCATAGGCCTAGAATGTTAATATACTGTGTATAAAATGATGATAACATTGTTGTCTGGATGAAGCCATATTTGATTTGCTTGAACAAACTACTTTACTTGTGGGGCTGTCAAAATAATGGAAGACATAAAAATTATGTTGAAATTGAATTTGAGAGAGTAAGAAGAAGTTTTTATATGATGGTTGATGTTTGTGATCATGTCAGTAGTGAAAACAACTAGACGTCAAAACCTGTTTATCACATCAAGAGAAATCAAGATGTAAATTTAATAATCTAACATCATTTGATAGAAACATATTTGATTTTGGTGATACACGCTTCCATCAAACTCAAGTACAAGTTACAAAGGGCTCGTTTTTCAACTGAGTAAACTAGTTAAAGTACTATTCATCTACCTTGTGTTTTTAGTACGTGACATTACTCGTTTGTTCTATTATATTTTAGAGTGTGAAGGTGGTACCTTTGGTTTGGATTGTCTTCAGCAATGTTTTTGTGCTCCAGAAGCTTGCGAGACGGAGAGGGGTCTTTGCAAGGGACAATGCCTTGAAAGCTGGATTGGACCGTACTGTCAAAGTAATTACACCCATCATATTGTATTCTGATTTGTGTTCTTGTTCAGCTTAAAATGGTTCAGATAAAAAACAACATCAGAGTTTAGCTGTTGTTTAGCTATAAGTCATAATCTTGCTCAATAAGCTTTTAGAGCAAATAAGTTTACTTAAGTTTAAGCTAGGTATTTCATATAGCACCATGTTCATCGCAGTACATGGCGGATACCGACACTATATAAATAGCCATCATTTTCTGCTTTTTTTTTACAGAAAAATGTACACATTAGTATACAAACTATTCTGTATTGTTTCTCTTTATGCAAATGTTTATTCCAATCTATTATCTATGAAATTTCTCCGACACTAAACATGCAGTAAGTGGAATGATTATCTATAATGCGATAATCTTTCTTTTACAAAAGAGTGTTTTCAAGTGGATAGAAATCATGAGGAATAATAGTGAGTGGCTTTAAAAGTGCATTAATGATTTGCTTGTTAGGAGTATTGCATTGATATTAGATTTTGAACAAAATTATCAGATTAAGATCTTCCCTTTTTTAGGTACACCTGTATGTACACGTAGAAGTGTATTTGTGGTATTTTTTATGATTTTGCTTAGTTCTCGATAGTAATACTAATATTAAGAAATGACTAGGTTCCAATCATCCATTGCTCTTGACGTGAAAAATTGTATTTAATGTTTGGTATATTTTCCTATTTTTTTTACAGGAATATTATATTCTTTTCAATATAATCGAATTCATTCTTTTATTGATGAATATCATGATTGGTCAATGTTTTACAAAGTGCATATACGATTGTGGATGAAATACAAAAGGCGAGTAGATTTTGAATGAAATGATTTGGTTAGCTCCGTGTTGACGTGCATAATATCAGCATGAAATTGATATTTAATATCTGGTTTCATTCTTGACAGGAATATCAAGATTGGTTCCAATGAGAGTAAACCCATACCAACCATCTACTTTCACATGTTATGTTGAGGGTATCCCACTTCCCGATGCATCCTCAGTTGATCTTTACAGACAGACTGGAAGCACCGATAACACGACAGGAATCACCAGGACATCGAGCACTGTCTCAGGGTCAGAACGAGCTGTTGTCTTTGATGTTGATAGTGTGTATCCGCATGAATATGGGGGATACGTTTGCATTCTATCTGTTGAAAACACCGGCTATCCCAGTACGCCCTCTACTAGCGCAACTTATGGTGAGCAAACTGCGCGACATTAGTTTACTCTACTGTACTACTGTGAGATACATGTGTAATAGAGAGCAGGATTTAATTTTCTTTAAATGCAGAATCATTCTCAGTCGCGCTGTCTGCATATAGGCCGGGTTACAGGGGATCGGATCAGTTCTGTTGATAGTTCTCTACTTTTCTTGTGCATTATGGAATCTTTTTGTTAACATATATTGACTTGACTATTGACTATTGTAGGAGTGTCATTGATTTTCACGGTTATTTCAATGAATTGTATTAACTTTTTGTGTCTCTCTTCCTTTTTGTCAGTTCTGCCAGTAATTGAGAAAGGACCAGTGATAGTGAGCACCACGTCAACTACAGTAGGTCTTCGATGGAATGCATGGTCTGAAGAAGATGACATAGGTGATCCTCCTCTGGTAGGATATGATGTCTTTGTAAAGAAGGATGGTGACTGGGTAACGGATCAGAGAGTAGACCATCTCACAACATCAGCCTTTGTTATCAACCTGACACCCGACACAGATTACAGGTTTCGTTTAGCAGCAGTGAGGGAAGGAACAGGTGGAGCCGGACTTGCTTCTCCTTGGAACAACACAATAACTCGCTGTAGAAGTAAGTTTTAGATTGCAGACAAAATAAGACGTTGAGGATGCTTATTTTTCAAACTTTTAAAGCTTGATTTAGTTCATTTATCTACAATTATAGGTACGTGTATTAAATTACTAGTAATTACAATATTAGTAAATGATTTGTACATACAATTGGGATATTTATAAACTTTGTAATGCTTGAAGGCTCTTTAACTACTTTGATTAAAATATATCACATAGAAATGTTTGTATTTTTCATTCCGTACCTTCTTCTCTTTAATTGTTCTATCTTACTATAATTTAATACAGAATTATTTTTATACAAAATATGCATTTCCCAAAAATGTTTATAATACCCTTGACTGTATTTTCCCCAACGATAGTTTCATGTTTGACTTGTTGACATTTAATTTAAAACCAGATGAAGAGTACTTGTTGTAGTAATACAAGATTTTACCATGAATTCATCTACTACACTGTTGGTCATATTGGTGGAATATTTATTTTTACCCCAGTTTAGGGAAGGATTTTTAAAAATTATTTATTTCTAATAGATCTAGATAATGGCATACATTCTCACATTTTATTGAATATTAATTTGCGAGTGTTTGTTTTGCGTGACTGCTTAATCATATGTGTGCTACTATGCTAATCAGCTGGGACCTTCGTCCTTAAGTCATAATTGACAGTAATAAGGATTAATGCCTCACAAAAGAGCACTAATATATAGCTGATTGACACGATTTTTATCCTGGGGCCTCACAGTAACAAGGCCATTGCTTAGCCCCTGAATCATGACTGTACGCAGTGTTTGCCAGGGTACGCGGCCCCTTCCACAAATCCCCCAAAACGAAGAAAATGCAATAAATTATCAATAATTCATTGCATTTCCCCCCGGCCCCCAACAGGAAAAATTCCTCTGTAGGGCCATGCATTATGGTTCAAGGCATGGCCACAAAGAGGAATTTTTTCTGTTGGGGGCCGGGGGGGAAATGCAATGTATTATTGATAATTTATTGCATTTTCTTCGTTTTGGGGGATTTGTGGAAGGGGCCGCGTACCCTAGCAAACACTGCGTACAGTCATGATTCAGGGGCTAAGCAATGGCCTCATTACTGTGAGGCCCCAGGATAAAAATCGTGTCGATCAGCTATATTAGTGCCCCTTTTTGAGGCATTAATCCTCATTACTGTCAATTATGATTTAAGGACGTAGGTTCCCTAGCTGATTAGCATAGGAGCACACATATGATTTAGGAGTCACGCAGAACAAACACTCGCAAATTAATATTCAATAAAATCTGAGAATGTATGCCATTATCTAGATCTATTAGAAATAAATAATTTTTTTAAATCCTTCCCTTAACTGGGGTAAAAATAATTATTCCACCATTATGACCAACAGTGTATATGACTAACCATTTAGTATCTTCTATGTCATGTTAAACTGCAGAACCCAGTGCTTCTCCAACTAGACTACAAGTTTCAGCCATTAACCCTAAAGAGCTAGAGGTGACATGGGAGGTAAGAACTGTTTGGTCACTTAGTGATATGTAGCTGGATGAAAAGATTCGTCCAGAGCACAAAATGTATAACTGTTAATAGTCATATTTGTTATTACATGCAGGTAGAAGCTCATATATATATATAGAGCTGGTAAATACTTGTACAACCTTGATGAGATTTGATTTTACCTATAATTTCCTCGGAATATGTCAAATAAGAAATCCTCCACACCACTTGCTATTTTTGAATGTTTCTTCACGTACCTCATTAAGTGACTCTATCAAATACATATTGTGTAACAAATATTTAAAAAATGGGTACCAATTTCTCTGTTGCAAGTCGAAAGTATGAGCTGTTGGGTTAAGAAATGGACTTTTGATTTCACTTTACAGAAGGATGCAAATATGGATTTTCTTTTGTTGGTAGCATCCTTATTAATGCGAGAAACTGTAAGCAAAATAGTATAACGACCCATAATTTGTTTATTAGTGTGAAAGTAACATAGTTTTATATGTCGTTGTGCTTCATGTAACATGTATTTGCACCTTTATGTTTAAGCACCTCCCCTCGGAATCAGCAGAATGCAGGAGTGGAGTAAGTCATTATACGATCTACTATGCTGCCACTGGATCAACTTCTTCAAACCCTATCCTGGTTTCTCGTGACACTAGCTCCTACACAATAAAAGGGTTATACACCTATCTGGACTATGCCATTCAATTGACTGCATCAAATAAAGACGAGGAGGGTGATAGGATCAGTGAGGCTATCGGCAAAACAATTGAAGAAGGTTCGTGTTTATCTTGGGATGTTTGTTTTTTTCTCGGGTGGGGTAGGAGTTGCTTTGCCAGTTAATTAATACAGTTCATATTCTTGTAGATATTAATATCACAACCTTCTTCCAACATGATTTTTTGGTTGATCTTACTTTCGGTTCGTTTAAATGATCTTGATAGAGTGGGAATCATTCATTCTGCTAGACTGCAAACTGTATGGTCTGTACAGTGCGTCCCAGTAAAAAAACAAACCGAGAATTATCGATATTTGATCATAACTTAAACAAAATTATAATTAACAAATGACACATTTTTGTAAGCTTAGATACTCCTCTTTAATGTGATGCTACTCATATAATGAATATATCACGCATGAGTGATTAAAAGCAATTTGAAGAGAGGAAACCAACAAGTCATTTGGCAGACCGTATCAGAATTTCAAAGAGGAAATCACATTTCTAGGAAGTCCACTTTCTGCCCTTTCATATGATACCTCCACCAACAAAAATGCGCTAGGAATAACCAAGTTCTGTTTGTTTAAAGTAATGCTTGCATTTCCATAATTTGATTAAGCAAATTCGTTTTCACTAGCTGCCTGCCGTAGCACAAAACAAAGTTTTCCAAAGACTTAACTCCGTTTCGTTGACGATCAGCCGTGCACAAAGAAGACGAAAGACTTTATGCATGACTGATCGTAGAAAGTGGACTTTCTAAAAATGTGATTTTTCTCTTTGAAATTCAGTTACCGTCCGCCAAATGACTTTTTTGTTTTCTCTCTTCAAATTGCGTTTAATCACTTATGCGTGAAATATGCATCATATGAGTTGCATCAAATGAAAGAGACGGATCTAAGCGTTACAGATATGTGTCATTCAGTAATTATAATTGTGATTAAGTTATAGTAAAGCACCGATAATTCTCGGTTTCATTTTTTCTGGGACACACTGTATACTGCTAATTCATCAAAGCCATATCGAGGACTACAGTTTGTTCGAATAAGACTTCGGTCTAACACCTTTTTTGAAATCTAACGTAAGACTATTCTTAACCAGCGTCGGTTTAAATGTTTGTTGAGTACGGACCAATACGTTTGATATCGGAAGAGATCGAGAGAAATGAGATCTATAAATATATCTTTAGCAGTGTTTTTTATACTTCTGAACTACTTATGTCTGCATCATATAAATCCTATACATGACTGTTTGAGACATAGGAGTACCATTGCCTAATGTCATTACATTTTCATTGTGATTCCAACTCTTATTTTCTTCGATACAATAAGTATCTTTAATTGCACTCAATTAGATTGGTTTTCTGGAATTAGAAATCGTACTTACCTGGTAAGACGAGAAAAACTAAAATATTTGATATTCCGGAATATTAATACATAATTCTACCATATTACAGTGTGATACTTGTATAAAACAATTTTCTTCTAATCAGTCGCACCTGCTCCTATCAATGTGGCTTTACCGCAGAGTACTACAAGCTCCTTCACTGTATCCTGGTCTACCCCTCTACCGTATAACATCAATGGTAACATCCAGAAGTATAACATCCGCTACAAGCAAACTGATCCCGTTGTTGATGGTAAATACAAGTTAGAGGAAGTATTAACTGATGCATTTGATGGAGAACATACTATAATGGACCTGCCCCCTGAGAACAACTACACAGTTCAGGTATGATTGACCACAATCCTTAGGACCCAAGTATTAAAGAAATTTTCATTTTCTTCATATTCTAGTACAAGCTTTCCATATGTAGAACATTGAATAATGACTTGTTATCTTAAGAGCTATTGGAGAAAGTAGATGAAATTATGAAGTGATTCTCTTTCGTATTTGTGCCATTGATCTAACAGCAATCCCCGATTACATGCATGATATTACATTCAAAGAAATAGCATTTGAGTGTAGTTTAATGGCATCTAAATATTAATTGTTGTGGTTCGGACGCTTATGAGTAGATTGGTATGTTCTTTAATATATGAATATCTGTATCATTATACGTGTAGACATGACTTACCAGCTCCAAATAATTCTTTTGAGTGTTTCGTGTGTGGATGATATTTGTATTTTCATTATTTCTGCAACACCATATTTTAATTTCTGTTTGTCAGGTACGAACTGTCAATGGAGCTGGTTCTAGTAATTGGTCTGAGCCCGTGAATGCGAAGACCATCCTCTCAGGTAAGGCATGAAACGAATAAAACTTTGTTATACCCCAAATTGTATACTTGAATACACTGTAGGTAATGTGTTTTTCTAGATGTAGAAGTAAAATGCATTCGGTATTCAATAAATTGTTCTTTCATTTTCGTATGTTCTATATAACACCCATTTTGTTTATAATGCAGATGCTTTTATTTAATATTTTTTCTTCTCACAAGTTCGACTTTGAGCATTCGTTTTAAAGAGGACTACGTGCCGAACGAATGTAATTTATTATTTGTATCATTATTATTATCGAATAAAAGCTACACTTCAAATTAAAGTCGGTATGTAACCGTAATATGTATCAAAATATGAACATAAATAAGTACATTTTCATAATAATCTACATGATAATATTATTCTTTGTTCTCTGTTTAATTTTCTGAATGCCTTTGAAAAGTTTAATAGTCTGCACTAATCATGTATTATTCAAAATAAGTAGAAATCGAATGTATAAATCCGAACCATTTCTCTGTTACATCTTATTGTGAAACTTCATGAAAAAGAATAGAAAACGTTTCATTTACGAACGTTAATATGATCTGCACAAAATCAACAACAAACTTTGTGAAACAGACCAACAAAATAATTGCATAATTCATGAAAGCATAATTACATGAATATGTTTTTTTTTTGTTTTTGCTAAAGGTGATGATAATGGTATCAGAATACCACTAGGAGTTGTTATAGGGAGTGTGATAGCACTCCTCGTTATCATCGTAATACTAATATGTATTGTGGTGATGTATAGAAGGTAAGTTAGCTCGAAAACAAGTAGACAAATCCTAGTGAATTCAATGCCACTGTCTGATAACAATGTTATAAATAATTTAGTTATTATTTTATCGTAAATTTGACGTTAACAAAAATTAAATTCTTGACCATCTAAAGTGAGACAGAACGACGGTGGATAAAGTGATTGCAGAATTTTTCATTTTCTAGAGGCCATTATCAAATATCTACAAAGAATCGTTTATAATGTGTTCGAATGTAACTTGTGTATGATAAGGGCCATACACAATCGCGTACATTGCAGCTGTTATGCTTACCACGGACCCTTCCTACTTCCAGTTTATCAGAACTGTGTGAGTATATGTGGGTATCTGGAGGATGTGGGTGTGTGTATGTAAATTCAATGAGGCCTATGTTAAAAAGGCGAAATAAATAAATCTTGTTTTGAATTGAATTTCACTTCCAGGTTTAAACAAAGACGTTTAAATGCTGAACCAGCCACATCGCCTCCGATTAATGCACATGAGACGTCCTCGAAGCATGGGAACCCTGCATTTGATTACCCAGACACCCATGATACCTTCCAAGACCTTAATACAGACACACGGAACAACCAGTATCGCACCGACCCCTATAGCTATCAAGATGTCCCAGAATCAGATCCGGGAGACATTTACGAAGTTTACGAAGTTTACGAAGTTTACGAAGAAATATAGATACAACCCAGGTGAGGCAGAGGGGTATCTTGTCAGGCGTAATCAACCATGCTGTATCAATCATAATGCACGTCGGTCACTCTTGTGCATAAGTAACTGCATGTAAAACATCTTCAACTCTCTTCCAGTAGCTCGTTTGCCAAACGTGCACAAACATTAGGCACCAATTGACGGAAGACCATGGCTCTGTAAAATTACATATTTCAGGTCTTGATTAGCTCCATGACAACCCTTTTAACACCGGTACAGATTAAAGTTTCACTGGAAAGTAGGTCCTTGGTAATACAGTACATTTCCAGATCATTCTCGGCTTGATATATTCCTACAAAGATGTGTCCTCGAAAATGTAGTCAAATACTGATGTATTTCTCGCTCTCTGTATACTCTGTATTGAATGAAGTAAAATAACTCTAGGTATGGGCTCTTAAAATTGGCTGAATCGGTATTTCCCTGTTTTTTAGTGGCGGACAACTTTTCTATTTGTTCAAACACAAGCAAAAATGATTAAAGTTAAAACTTTTCAAAAAGAAATTGACTCAAGAGGGTCTATCCCTGTCTGACTACCTTCAAGATTCTGCATGGTCAGGCCCCCAGTATCTCTCTGAGATGGTATCAGTAACGCAGTCAGTGAGGTCACTGAGGTCTTCAGAGGCTACGAGACTAGTCGTGCCATTGACAAGAACGGTCATGTATGGAGACAGGTCCTTCGCCAAATCTGCACCCGTCCTCTGGAACTCTCTTTCTTCTTATCTTAGACAATTAGATTCCACAGAACAATTTAAATCCCAGTTGAAAGCGTTTTTATTTATCTGATGTTTAAGTTTAATTACCTAAAGAACTATAATGTTGAACTGTATTATGTATTTATATCTGTTTATCCAATACTTGAATTTCTGTATATATAAGATTTGAATTCCTGTTTATCTAAGATTTAAGTTTAACTGTATTATGTATTTATATCTGTTTATCCAATACTTGAATTTCTGTATATATACGATCTGAATTCCTATTTATCTAAGATTTAAGTTTAATTACGTGTAGAAATAATATCTGTTGAACTATTTTGTGTAATCTGCATCATTTTTGTTTGTCGCGCCTTGATCGGAAGTTCCGGATACGTGCGCGTTATAAATTTATATTATTATTATTATTATATTGCCAACCATGATATATTTTTAGTAGTACCCCAAGGATGAATGCGCTAAGGAGATAAACAGAAATTAATTTTCTATTCATTTTATTTATTATTTATTATTTGTTCGGCAGTTCACAACAAATATAACAATGTAAATATGAGTAAACAAACATGAATAGAATGTCAATTATAAATGCACAATCTTCCTGGAGGTCCTCTGGGAGCATCAGCTGGCTGCCGGGAAGCGTTATTTTTTCGGCGGCACAGATTGGGGTTAGGTGCGTGTCGAGCCTATTTTGTTTGCAAGACTGGCTTAATGTGAGCTCCATTCAAAAGATATACTGGTTCGGCGACGTTTTTCCTTGAACATGAAATTCGCATCACTTTCGTTTTGTTCACATTTAGCTTCATTCCATTGGAAACACACCAGTGCGGAACACTGTTAACATCACGTTGTAATATTGCAGAGTCCATGATATCACGTACAGGTCGATAGATGATTGTGTCGTCCGCTAACAATGAACATGGTAAATCCAATTTATTTTAGGTACATCAATGATGAACAAATTGAACAATGGCATAATCCTGTTGTGTTGTACTCGACAAACGAGAGAGATATCTGCATCTGCATATTGATCTCATATTTCAAACATCAATAACTTTCTTGTTGCTGGTCCGATTTCAAAGTTTCGCCATTCTGATTATCATAATTTTCTGCTTTCATATAAATGAACTTAGTACACGGGATGGATTACCTTGTAAGGTAGTCTTTATCGTATACGCAATACTATGAAGTGTAGGCCTGAAAGAACATATGCACTGAAGTTGACTGAACTATAATGTAATTATTATGTTATTATGTTAATAAGAGGTGGTTGTAGTTTGGTAAAGATGCAATGCCAGCAAAGTGTAGGCCTGAATTATTTGCACTGTACTATATTTCTTAACCAATCGTTGAACCTTAACAAGAAACAAGTTTTCGGCGCATGAAAAATGTCAATATAGTACATTATTCGTGATGACATTTTGCTATTTTTTAATAGGCAATTCAATAAAATTCTGAGAACTAGAGTCTATTTAGATTTCTGTATCCCATTATGTCAATGGCATTTTTGGATGATCACAATTATTATTGGATGTGGTAGTTCCTGGATTATTTTTTTACTTTCTATAACCCTAAACTATGTGACCTATGTATCTCGGGATTTTCTGGAGCTGAGGACAAAATCATGCTTGATGTGTGTGTGTGCGTGTGTGTAATTCTATGTATGCGACTATATTAAGCAAATATTAATCGACTACGAGGGTAATGGTGCAAACTATCATCGCCGAGGTGATCTCGGGCTACTATCTTCCCGAGCCGCAAGGCGAGGGAAGATGGTAGCCCCGAGATCACCAAGGCGATGATAGTTTGTATCCATTGCCCGAGTAAATGAGGTTAATATTTGTTTTATATCCCACATCGGCAATAAGGTCTATTTAAAGTGAATTTTACATAATAATGAGAACTGATTCTGCAGACAGTTTAGCTTCAGCTAGATTTAACAAAGGGCAACATGCAGAATGTATAATACAGTCGATGCGCGCTCATTTGACATTGACATTGACTTTGACATTTCGCGTAACCTACTTTGCTATGCGTATTCAATGGGCAAGCGTGGGCAAGTGGGGTAGCAGCAAAAATTTACTGTACAATAAGTACTATCTTAGGTAGATAGTACCTATCTATACCTTTTTCGTGCTCTATACAATCGCAATGCAAACAACTATACATGAGGGATATAAATATATATATATATATATATATATATATATATATATATATGTATATTGATGATAATATAATTATTAACATCAAGGAAAAAGAAGATGCTAAAGACAATAAGAGAAGGAGAGAGGTGATATACCTTGGGCAAAGTAGAGCAGGGAACAGCCCCGAGCGAAGACGCTTTCAACTCCTCTGCTAAACCTTTGTTTGATCAAGGAGTTGCAATAATTTATAACTCGTTTGTATGGTAACGACATTAGTATGTGTGTACGTGTGTGTGTGTGTGCGCGTGTGCGTGTGTGTGGGTGTGTGTGTGTGTGTGCAGGGGTGTCGATTTGTATCCGTGGTTGGGGGGGGGGGGTGATAGGTGCCAAAATATTTTTGGCAATGGATCAAAGCAACCAAGAGGTAGAAGCGTGTGGCAGGTTGCACCCCTGCCTTCCAAGTTACCGTCAATAAAGATAACATTTCCTCTCAAGCGCGTAGCCTGGATTTTATTTTAGGGGGCGGTAGTGAGTAGCGAAGCGTGCTCCCTGGGGGGGGGGGGTGCAGGGAGGGGAGCCTCCCAGCGCGGAAGCTCTGACATTTCATTAAATTATTAGAGAAAGAAGACGATTCGTTTTACCGTTCTCGACTCTTAATCCTAGTCTCTATTCAATTTCTTTTGACGTTTCATTAAATTATTCTAGAAAGAAGACGATTTGTTGTACTGTTCTCGACTCTTAAGCCTTGTTTGAATTAAGTTTCCCTTCCTCCGCGCGTAGCGCGGAAGCTTTGATTTTTCATTAAATTATTAGAGAAAGAAGACGATTCGTTGTACCGTCCTCAACTCTTAATCCTTTTTCTGCCTACGTCCTTTCTTCTTTCTCTCTTTTTTTGGGGGGGGGGGGGGCGACCGCCCCACCCCCTTGCTACGCGCATGTATCCTCTCTCATCATCTCTTTCTCTCCCACTCTCTCCTTCTTTTTTGAACTTTTGCGCTTCGCGCCTAACATTTAGCTCGTGCCTTTTAAAGCTGCGGCTTTGCATTTGGCGCTGTTGATTGAATAAATTGAATAAATTCATCAATTCCTGATGAAGCCGTATGAGCGAGAATTCAATTTATTCTTGTTTCCTATACGATTGTCTTATTTACTTCGTTTTCCATTTATATATGTACGTATTATTAACATGAGATGCATAATGTGTATATTGATGGTGGTCGTGCAAGTAATAACCATTAAACTACTCTCATCGAGCTCTCATCATTAATTTTTCTCTTCATTTTTTTTTAATGGTGAATTATTGGGGCGATGATTTTACAGGTCATCCCCCCCCCCCGCCTGAAATATTGGGGGGGGGGGGGATATATTCCCCCATCCCCCGGGATCGACACCCATGTGTGTGTGTGTGTGTCTGTGTGTGTGTGTACATGTGAAGGAGGACAATAATTGGTTTTTAAAATTGAATTGAAACAAAGACGTTAAATTCTGAACCAGCAGCGTCGCCAAGCAAGACCCCCATTCCTACGAAGACCTTAATATATACTGACACACATGCCTACCAATATCTTAATACAGATACACCAAACTACCAGAATCTTACTAACTCCCATACGTATCAAGACCTTAAGAAACCCAACATCAACGTTCCCTACCAAGATGTCAGAAATCAGATCCGGGAGACACTAACGAAGAAATATAGAGGCAGCTGTAGCGAGGCAGAGGGGTATGGTGCCAACATTGATATATGCTGGAGAAACAATAATGAACATGTTATGCAATACACAAATTTGGACTTATTATATGATGTACATTCCAACTTTATGAGCGACAGTGTATGTCCGTCTAATGACGCTGTAAGATGTACATGTAGGTAAATATATGCAGCAATGAAAATACCCAAATGAAAGCTAACGTAGCCCTAAGTCGACCGACCCAGAGTCGACCTTTATGTTTAGAAAAGAAAATGATGCATAATAAAACGTGTATGTAGAATTGTATAGGTGAATGCACGTACGAGAACCATACAGTTATTAATGTATGACAATTATTATGATAACAGCTGTTAATTCTAATAAAAGTAATAAAATGAATGATAAAGAGGCTGTACAAATACGACACAATACGTATATATATGACTGTGTGGTACCCGTACATGTATTCACCTATACAAAACTTCATATTATTCTACTTTTTCTACTATTTTTTTTTACTTGGGGTCGCTCGACGCCAAGTCAACTTTCATGTTGTTCCCATATATATATATATATATATATATATGTATGTATATTGATGATGATATAATTATTCACATCAAGGGAAAAGAGGATGCTAAAGACACCAGAGAAGGAGAGAATTGATATACAGCTTCAGCGTCGCTAAACAAGTCCCCCATTCCTACGAAGACCTAAATATATACTTACACACATGCCTACCAATATCGTAATACAGATACACCAAACTACCAGAATCTTACCAACTCCCATACATATCAAGATCTTATGAAACCCAAGATCAACGTACCCTACCAAGATGTCAGAAATCAGATCCGGGAGACACTTACGAAGAAATATAGAGACAGCTCTAGCGAGGCAGAGGGGTATGGTGCCAACATTGATATATCAATAATGAACATGTTATGCAATACACATAGTTGGCAATATTAATCATGATGCTCATACTACGGTAATAATCAATTTAAATTGGTACATGGTATTACTAAGAAGTTGGAAATTGATGGTCCCCTTTTTCTTATGTTAATTGAGAGTTGATTTGATGAGATAACCACCTGTCAGTGACCTGGCCGAATTAGTGCGGATGGGCTTTATTAAGCCGTTTTCAAGTATTGACCAATTTATTGAAAGCAAACATTCTTTAAAACTTGAAAATGAGCGCTACAGTTGTTGGATTTAAAGCACGAATCTTCCCTTTTTCATCATTGATTGCGTCATATTAAGCTAAATTGTGGACTTATAACAGGATTAACAGTGTGTATAATGCCTTTGCATTTATTTAAGAGAGACAAAGAAAGTAACTGATTGAGTTTTTT